AAAAAAAAAAAAAAAAAAAAAGTTAATCTGTTAAAATTTTTATGTGGCAGTTTTAAATAAGTGTCTATCTCAGCTTCTGTGTAGAGAACAGAGCAGGGGCTAGAGCAGAGAGTATGGGTCCAAGGCAGCAGAGTAACAGGTGGGTTGGTCCAGACCAGGGCAGGAGCCAGAGGGGCCAATGAAGGGAGTCACAGGGCAGCCACAAACAGGACAGAAGGTACCCAGGGAAAGCAGGCTGATCAAGAAAGGGGCAGAAACTTCTAGAAGGGTCTAGTGAGATCTGGCACCTGGAAGTGAGCTCTAGGGATGTGAAGAGTGGTACAGCTTTGTGGATGCCGGGCTGCGTGCAGCAGAAAGGAAGAAGGATGCTGGTAGGGAGTGGCCTTTGAAGCCACTTCCTGGGGAGCCAAGGGCACCCCCACTTTGGGGGTGTTCAGAACCAGGGGGGATATTTCCCTTACTTTACCTCAGAGAGGCTGAGTACCTGACCCATGTGCCACTCAGATGGAGTCAGGGTTTGGAGCTGGCCCCCTCCCTCACTAGGGCCTTCAGCAAGCTACTCAAGGCCTGGTTCCTGTCACTCAAATGGAGCCAGTGTCACCTCACAGGGAGGTTGTAAGGATTTGACAGACAGTATTCAGAGCGACTGGCAAAAAGTGAATATTCAGTATGATGCCTCAGCCCTGAAGGTTGGTACCCGTCAGAGGGCGGACTGGAGGGGAAGGCCTCGCTTGTATCTTGTGGAAGATGGCCGACAGCATGCCGACTTCTTCAGTCACAGGGACACTCACCTACACTGTGAAGAGCTTCACATACCCCTCACAAGGTGGGGCTTAGTGTCTGGCCTGAGATGTGAGAGGGCACAGGCTCACTCCTCAGAGTTTGCACACGAAGTTACTGTAGGCAGTGAATCCCCTCTGGTGGAACTCTAAATGCTACCTCTGTATTTAGCTAGGTAATCAGAAGGCAGCAACTGTGGTCTTGGTGTCCTTGGTCCTCCCCATGGAAATGACTTCTCTGTGATAAAATGTCACCTCTCTGCGTTTAGGAAAGGCTAGCAGAAACTTTGAAGATCATTTCTATCTACTGCCAAACCAAACAAGCTGTCTTTGCTTATGTTGCTTTAAAGTTCTGTAAGATTCCTTTTTCCTGGAACTCAGTGCTAAAACGGGTTTCCTGAGGTGCTTGTTCACCTGATTCCTTTAAGAGAACCAGGCTACCTGTTGCCCAGTTTGATCACCAGTTTGGGAAGCTCAGAGCCAGCACAGAAATGGATGGATTGCTGCCGGGTTCTCCCCTGGCACCAGCTCCCCTCTCGCATCTTTTCAATGTCATAGCTTCCTTCCTCATGCTTTTCCCTCATCCTCATCCTCCTGTCCACAGGATGCTGAGTGCTGCCCTGCGCTAGATTCTGCCCTGTCCTCTTGGAGCTGGTGCCCAGCTTCTAGTCTTCTAGACCCTTTTCTTACTGTAAGGGGTCTGAACCCTTCACGGAAGCATACTGGCTTTCAGTCATATATTATAAGCAATAACCATTTCTAAAAATCACAAATCACAGTAGTCCAACCAAAACACAGAGTGCCTTTTCTAAGGGAGCCTTTAAAGTCACATTGACTCTGATGTGCTTCAGACTGAAAGCAGGGGCTGGTGTCAGCGGCCCTCTGGGCTCCTGCTGCAGGCTGAATCGTGCCCCGCTAGCACCACCACCAAATTCACATGTGGAGGTCCTGACATGCAGAACATCGGTAGCTAGCTCCTCTACAGGGTGGTCCTATCCAATCTGACAGGTGTCCTTGCAAGATAAGGCATCAACACACACACAGAGGGATGACCAGCGAGGACATGGAGATGGCCATCTATAAGCCATGGGAGCGGCCTCCAAAGAATGCAGACTTGCAATACCTCAGCCTTGGCTTCCTTGCCTCAGAACTGCAAGGTAAATAAACGCCTGCAGCTTGGCTGCCCAGTCTGCCATGCTGCAGCCCAGCACACCTGCCCACCTGCCCAAATGTAGAAGCTGCAGGCGTTCTTCTCTCTCGCTGGTTCTCAGAGGGAGCAGGGAGCCCAGATGTGAAGCTTGGATCTTGAGCTGTTTGTATTTGTCCTGCTGGCTGCAGGGCGCTGTTCTACCCCAGAAACAACCTCGGCAGGGACAGCTGAGGACCAGCTGCTTCCGTCAGGCCTGCTGGGTTCCTCCAGGTTCTGGTGGCATCACCCCCTCCAGGCCTGCTCCCACATGGTCTCCTCACCCCCACTTTGGGCTCAGGGCCCGGGCATGGTCCACCGATGGCAGTGGCTGACGGACTCCCACAAGCTCTCTGCCCAGCACAGCCTAGGGTGGGTGCCTTTGCCAACATGTCCCGGTTCTGGTCTCCTGCTGATTCTATACAGAGGGGCTGCTTAACAACAAGGGGTTTTGCTTAGTAACAAGTAGAGTACTCATACCCTGATAAACTCTAAATCGCCTATGCCCCTGCCCTGTCCTCTGTCCTTGCTCCCTTTCCCAGGAGCTCAAGGGGAGGGTGTTGGGGGACATTCCAGCAACGCTGGGATTGTCCAGGTGGGGCTCTCAGAAGCTTGTAAGAGTTTTCAGCTGAGGCTCAGCCTCTCTGGACAGATTTTCATCCTATTAGAGAAATCACCGTGGCACTGTGACCCTTAAGTACCAAGGCCGGGGGAAGGCACCCGGCTGTGTCTGCCTTCCAGTATGGAGGGAGCCACTGCGCAGGGGACAAGCCAGGAAAGGCTCGCCACAGCTTCAAGGTTCCTGTCCTCGGCCGTGGGAACACACTTGTCTCTGCTGAGTGATCACTTGGCTCGGGTCCCATCATTAGGGAGGGTGGGCTTTCTAAAGGAGTCACTGGAAGTGGGAGGTGGGGGCTTTACTGGAGCAGATGCATCCACGCAACTGTGGGGAAAAGGAGTGGCCCGGCATCGTATAACTGACCCTGCCCACCACAGCAGCAGCAGCAGCAGCCACTGCTTCAACAGGCACACACCTGCTCTTGTTTTTGGGGTACCAGTCACTATGCCGTGACCCTTTCCTCACAAGGACTGAAGGGGGGTTCAGGTCACTTCACACATGGTTTAATCACTTCTCCCACACCCACGGGGCGAGGGGGCCCGGGTGTCCTCCGTTTTCAGATTCCTGATCCGAGGCTGGGAAGGGCATGGTCCTGGGTCACAACGGGCTTGGGCTGCTGTGTGCTTCTGCTCCGTGGTGGATACCCAAGCAGACAAGGTTGTGTGAACCCCAAGGCGAGTGCTCTGTGGGCTTCGTGGAAGGACAGAGGCGGGATCAGAGGCACTGCCCAAGGACTGGTCCTCTGGGCCCTGGGCTGGCCAGCTGGGTCAAGCTGGGTACTCCTTTCCTCAGCCCACTTCCCTGGTGCTGGAGACCTGAAAAGGGACGTTTAGTGGTTTTAATTACTGTCTCCCACCCCTCTGCCAAGAAGTGAGGCATCTGCCACCCAGATTCAATTCCTGCTAGCAGGAGGAGGTCACTGCTTCTAGGAATTGGGGGTCGCCAGGTGCTGTGCTGAGGTCCCAAGGTCTGCCCTTCTCCGCTCTTCATGGCCACGAGAGGCCAATGACATCCTAGAAATACACCCTCAATTTCACCTCTCTGTGGTACTGCTGTTGCTGCCAAAGCAGAGAGTGCTAAAAGTAGAGACAGATGTCCACTCTGACATGGGACAGACAGACGTAAGTACTCGCATCCCAAGCTGCCCTGGGCCCCTGCTTCCCCTCCATGAACACATGGTGTCTGGGGGACAAGCTAGGCCAAAGGACCACTCACTGTGTCAGACCTTAAGACAGCCTTGGCCTGGGATGCCTCCCTTCTGAAAGGCCTCACCAGGGGAGCCCGGCCCCCTGCACTGAAGCCACGCTAAGCTCTGAATTGCATTGGCTTGCTGCAAACACCAGCTGGGAAAACCGTGCTCTTTCAGCCCTTCCTTCCCTCCCTGGCCTGGGTGACAGCCGGCACCACTGTTCCCAGTGTGCTTATTAAAACACATGGGTCCCCTGTACTTCCCTGTCTGAGTAACTCATAGACTGCAAATGCTGTAATTTCATGGGATTTGTTTTAAGTACCCTTTGCTGGCAGACGTGGGCTCAGTATGAGGACTCTGTAATTTTCCAGACTCCTAAATGGCACCCCTGTAGCTATGACATACCATGCACCAAACATAACCCACCCCCTTTCCGCCTCCCAGACAACCCACTTACTCACAGTCTTCACCAAGGCCCCCTGGGGGTCCCTACCTAGGTCCTGTGGGGGATCTAGTCATGCTCATGACAAACTATGGCACATCCTCTCCAAGGAATACTACATGCTCAACAACAGGGTGCTTTCAAAAATCCATTTCTATATTATATATCAATACATGAGAAGCAAGACATCAAACTTTTATCCAGAAAAAAGACTCAAAGGCAAATCTCAGTAGTATTACTTTAGTAGTGGAAACCTGAGGACTTTTTTCCCTTTCGTATTTGTTTCTCTTTTTAAAATGCTCTACAATAAGCATATATTATTGTAATGAATTGAGGGCAACTCGTTTTATCATTATGTTTCAGAGGCAGGGTCTAACAGTCTGGCCACTCCTACGTGCTGGGGTAGCAGGATGGTGGGAGGTCAGGTTAGCTCTGGCAGAAACGAAATGCAGCAGGAGGGACACGAAGCCTGATGACAGTGGACTCAGCAGAGGAAGTGGCCCTTGAACACTGTGGATTTTCACTGAGTGGAAGGAAGGGCAGGGAGGTGAGGGCACAGGCTGTGCTGGGAGAAAAGACCCACAGCGGGATGGTACAAGGTCTGCTGCCCGTGGCTAGAGCAGAGGCTGTGGCCTTACTCCTCTCAGGCTCTGGAGGGCGGGGACCTTCACGGAAGCCTGAAATGCAAGGTGACTTCTCCAGGAGGAAGCCGAGGAAGCGGCCGTCAGGGGAGGCCTGGACGTAGATCCCTGCCGCCCCATTTCCATCATGTCCAAGCCACACCGGTTCTGGGGGCATAGGGGAGACCAACTGTGGGTTGGGATAACTGGTTCCAAATCTCAGCTGTCACCGCAAATCTGATGCAAGAAAAGGACCGGTTTTCTCATCTGTGACTGGAGATGGACGTGAGCAGGATCAGCGAGGGCAGCGTGGAAGTCACTCTGCACAGTGCCAACTGAAGATGCCTCGAGATGCTGCCCCACTGTGCTGGCTGATGGAGAACCAGGAGCAGAACTTCCAAAGATAAAGGATGGGAAGAATGGGAAACAGGAGGTGACAGAATGAAAACCCTAGGCTGAATTTCATCACACTGTTTCTTTGGGCCAATTGCACAGCTGGAGAGTCACCACCTGGCACTATCAGAGACAGAGACAGCCAGAGAGGGGGAAGCTGTCAAGTCACAGGTGTCCCGAGGACCTGGGTACAGCCCCTCTCCCACGCACAGACAGCCAGTGGCTTCCCAGGGCCTGGAGCTATGGGTCCCTGTGATCTGGCTCCGGGTCCACTGGCGACTTGGCAATTACTGTGGCACTGCCTGCAGCCTGAAATTTCTCCTACATGCTTGAGCTGTTAATTTCCAAACACATGTAAATTGTTTTATGATGAAGAAAATATGCACTTAAAAGTGTTACTGAATTAATTCAGAGGAGCAGTGTGTGTTCGGTGGTTCAATATGTATTTTCCCTATTAATTAATGGATACGGGAAGTACATATAACTTCTACCATCTGGGTTTCTGTGAAAATATTTCCAGTCTTTTTTGTGTG